GAAAAATTATCTATAGGAGATAGTACAGCTTATAAAATTAGTCAGAACAACATAGGCCGGTAAGGCAATCACTGATTGGTAAGTCCTTTAGTCAATCAGGAAATGTCACAGACCTACTGAAGGATGGGTAGATTGAATATGAATTCCTAACAGATGTTTCCGCATATAAAAGTTATCTTCAAGTTTTGTACACCAAAAAAACTTTTCAAATAAGTAATCCTGCTACTGTAAGGCTTGGGCCAAAGTTGTATATTCAAAATATAATTCCATGACTACCTCATAAAACTAAGGAAATATGGATGTTCAATTTTACTAAAAATTTAAAAAGGAGCGTTTCCTCTTTCATTCTAATATTTTTACATGTAAGCTTTATCCGTATTCTCATATTCACTTTGGAATGCACAGAGAAATAAGATAATAATTGTTTGCGATATTATGTCGTTAAATTATCAAGACATGTTAAGGTTTAAAGAACAACATCAAATTTTAAGCCCATTTAACCTAGATGCGATCTGATAGTTAGCGTGCCTAGTTTTTGAATATTGGGATTATGGGTGCACTATAAGAATGACGGTCACATCCCACTATTCGGTGAGACAAAAGTAGCTTATCAGTTAGCGGTGAATACGTTTCTGACTAGCTGTCTTCCCTCAGCTAGTTTATCTGCTCAAAGATAGGAACGACTATGCTAGGATAGCCCTTGTATATGTTCAAAATTATAAAACAAACGAAGCTCATTTAGTTTACGTAGTAAACGTTTTTCATTGTTTTTTTCTTCGTGGCCCTATCCTTCTTCACCTCCTTTATCTATATTGCTTCAACTGGACTCAACCACTTTGACTTGCTGTACGCTAACTCACGCCAAAAATCTCGACTCCACGCTCAACTGCAGTTGCCGAATCATCATAGGCTACCTAATTAACCAATACAAACAGACTGTACGAGCTGGAGGAGAGCAGTTGCCAAGAGAGCAGAGCAAACTCATGAGACACAAGACAGTAGACTCCCTCTACAAGGCCACGTGGAAGTAAACAAGCACCTGCTATCACGGAATAGTTTCTGTGGTTCAACGCGTGAAGAAGAACTATGAACACTCCGTCTCCAAGAGCTTCCACACGCAAGCATGGGCATCATGCCAACTGAGCATCTCCCCAGAAAAGCGGGAAAGGGCTGGAGCACCTGGAAAGCCCTCAATCGCCATTTTCTCAGGTCGGCAGGACTAGGGCCAACGTGATGAAATGGGTGTACTTCAGTAGATCCGCCGCCTGTGACTACGATGAGAAGCAGAACATATACTAGTCTGCCCACAACTTCAGATCCCATGCACAGCAAAAGACCTTGCTGTAGCCATTTAACATGCAAGCAAATGTTCACATCACTGGATGTAAAACATATAGTGATAAGTGAATACGACAAGAAGAAGAAGACTTGCTATTATAATTAAAGTTCGCGGTTAAAGAAGTCAATTAAATAAAAAATAAAATTTTCTGACCAGCTTTAGCTGGAAAACTCGAAAGTCTGAAATGCTCTTTTGCCTTGAAATAACAAAAACTGGTGTCTTAAACACAGACCATTCATACTTGCTTCTTGTATAAAACCTCTTTTGACTGGCTACTTTCCTTGTTAATGTCCGAACTGCGTTAAAAACAAAAAGTATATTATTTGACATTGAAATCCTCCGTTAATCTAACATTGTTGCTGTTTTTGTTTTGTTTTTAGCACAAAACTACACAACGGACTATCTACACTCTGTCCATTAGGGGAAATCGAACATCAGATTTTAGCATCGGAAGTATGTAAACTTACCATGATCTTATTACCTGAAATTATGTAAACTTTTCACTTTCGAGTTTATAAGATAATAAGTAAACTTAAGCAGCTCAGATACAAAAACAATAAAAATTAAAGCACTCTTATAATTTCCTGACCAGTTATTGCCTAGTAATTATAATATTTCACGTACAATTTAAAACAATTGTGATTTTTCAAAAACCTTTTTATCATAGTTAACAGATTGCCTAGGGTTTTCGTTATTACATTTGTTAAGGGTCATAATAGTCGATATAATGTACAAATAAACCGTCGATTTGCAAGTGTCTTCGTTGTTATACATAAAAGCTGAAACCACGTGCATATACAGCGTCCATTTGCGCGTGAGATTTATATCATGTATAAAAGCCTAGTTAAGATATTATTAACCAGTGGTATAATGCTATATTTCTTAGTGCTGGGGCCTGCTAAAATTTCTCTCACACGTCAGACGTCACCATCACATTAAATAACTCATATTCAAAACCTAATTCTGGCAGCACTACATCTCTGATTATAAGATAGACTCTATATGAGAGATAAAATTACGATAAAGTAAGGGGATGTACATCGTACGCTCGGTATACTCTTTTGTATATAGGTCGCTTGATTACCACTATTACTCCTATGATAATGAGTTATGAATCGAAAGATCTAAATAAGCAGTATCAAAACCTAGATGATTAGTGAGAACACCAACCTGCGAATAGCTCCTACCCATGTGGTTAACAGATTTTCACATACTAACCTCTAACTGAAAAATATCAGGTTGCGTATTGTTACTTTTTTAAATATAAGAATTATGTTTTGTTGGTGAGTGGATCTACATCAAAAGAAAGCCGAGTGGTTCTGTAACATTTTCTGTACCGAGACTCGTGTCCACAGGATCATGCAGTTTTTGACAGTTATAATTCCCACCAGTTCCCATAGGCTAGGACAATAAAGCTTTAACGGAAAGCTTTCACACCTGTAGATGTATAAGTTGATAAATGAGTTTAAATGAGGATCAAGTTTCAGTTAAGGATAACTTTACTTAAGGTAGTTAGAGCGATTCAACAAAAAGTGACAGATTAAATCAGCGAAATATATATAAAGGGCACTCAGTGGAGCAAATACCTCTGCCACGTAGCGTTGAGCATATTCGGCTCTCAAAAAAAGTACGAAAATGTATCCGAATGTCCGTCGTTATCAACGGACACTGACCATTTTTGGCAGAACAATGAGGAATAATATTCTACATATGTCCATCAATTTTCATCAAAATCCGATAATTTTTGACTGAGTTATAGAGCAAAACTGGTGTGAAAATTCGGTCCCATGTTAACAGACAAGGATTTTTTGAATTTTCGTGACTTTTTTTTTACATTGACCCTCTTTCGTCCAAATTCAATTCAGCTGTTTTCGAGAAATGTTACTGACAAACACACACACACACACAGGAGTGAAAACATAACCTCCATCACCTTTTGTAGTGGAGGTAATTATTAAAGAAAAAACTCATGTTACGCTTAAAAGCATACTTTTGTTTGTCTTGGTATAATATAGATAAACGATCTTTTTCTCCAGATGAGCTATCTTTTCATTATCATTTCAATATGACGTTTTGGTTTTATACTTAGATTAAAAGTTACATAAATATTAGCAATGCCTGGTTTTGCTGGACTTTGCAAGCAGCAGTAACTCTCGTGAAAATATACAGCTGAAACGTCAAGCAATAGGCGAAAAAAATGTTTATTTGGAAATTTTCTGAAATACACCACCTTACTCTATGTATTCTGAAAACAGAAAATAAGTTATTGAACTATCAAGAGCATTACAGAAAGATACCTCATTTAAAAGATACGTGCATCATGAACAACCGGTATAATAAAATATTTTAAAAAGTCACAAAACTTGTACAGATATATAAAGATAATTCTATACACATTTAACTAATGTAGGCAGTCCGATCTTTCCACAAATAGCCAATAATAAAGGAGCAAAATATCAAAATGAATTAAGAATTTCAAAGTTAGTATAAGGAGGAAAATAAGAATAACATAGTAGCAAAAAACGTACAATGGTGTAATGCTTAAATAAACTATGGTAGATATTTCAATAGCAAGTTCTATTACACAAACAAGACTACGATTCTGAATAAAAACAAGTCAAAAGCGATTGAATGATTAAAGGTGATAACCTCTATAAATCAAGATTACACTAAATCAATAACCAATAACCAAAAACACCAACTCATAACCGGTATAAATGGATATATGTCCGGTTGTTTGCTACTAACAGGCTGACATAATACTCACTTGCTTTACTAGGTATACGTTACGAGTCTACCCAAGCAAGCCTGTACTTCAACACAATGAATACACACCTACGAAAACTTCGACCCTACCTAAGTAACGTCCATAGTCAACTGCTTATCAGAGGCTCCATTCACTCACTCAAGCAACTCACCACACTGACTGAAATATAATGGCGGATCTGCTGCAGTGCTAGCATTGATCGGAGAGACTGACCTAGGGCATGTTACCATGACAACCATGGACACATGTACATTTCGTGATGCGGGAACAAAGATCACTTAAACGAATATCGCACTCTTTTTAATATTCTGTTAGTTTTGCCTGTGAGTGGTGTAGTAATGATTAATAATAACTTGTTCCTACCAACTAAAATATGCGTACGGTTTCTAAAGTTATGAAGATATGTAGTTGTCTATTACAGTTTCCCGTGTTTTATTATGTGCATCGCGCAATTTGTTCGATTTTACGATAACAAATCACTGAAATATCATGAAACTTAGTTTTAGAACTAGTTATTGTGATATACTAATTTGGATGCTTGTTTTAGCAAAGTGATAAAATGAAATATATCAAATCTTAGCATTAACTCTTAAGTAGTTCACATTAAAATAAAACTTAGATTGAACTGCTTAAACAAAGCATCCCTGAAATAAATCTGTAAAATGTGCATATGGTTATATATTTTATTACAATATCCAATAAAGTAAAGACATTAGTTATAGTTTTTTGCTTATAATCCACGTTAACTTTCGTGAAAAAGGCCACTATTCTGTCAGTTTATTCCTTTTCAACTGCGACAGCAGATATCAAATTAGTCACCTTAAAAAGGTACTCTCGTGTTGTTAGCTTGAAATACTCAAGTGGCGCCATCTCACGTCAGTATATATACATTTAATATGTTTGTTAGTGCCAATGCAATGAAAGAAAAGTAACAATATATTTCCTAACTATTCTTGATCGTTTTCTGTACATAAGTATCGAAATTTAAAACGTACTTAGAGCATTGCTGACTAAACGCCAGTCATCTGCTAATTAAACCAGAGTACGAACTAGACTACAGCAGTGCCATGAACGTCTCTTTACTTATCATTTCTTTCCACCTTCGTATGTACATTACAAACTAATTTATTTTGAAAAAATTGAAAATTTAATCAGGACAACTTGTGCATAAGAATAAAATAAAAAGTATAAAAAGAAACATTTAGAAATGCACAATGAAGCTCTATTTGACCAAGGCCAACATTAAGAATGACTCTACGTGTTTCGGTAGCTTCTGTCCTGAGGATGTTAGCGAAAGTAAAAAGTAAAATCATTTTTAATGTTGGCTATCGGCGAAATACAGCTTTATTGCGCATTTTAAACGTATCTTTTTACCTTTTATTTTATGATATATTTTGCTCTGATGTAACGCGATATATACATTCATTGATGAAATATTTTTGTAAAAAGTACACTTATTGAATCTAAAGTTATTTTTACATTGTTTAATTAATATTGTTAATTTTATTAAAATCAGATTTGCAGTACTTAATAAGAAGAACCAGAAAGCTTATTTTGTAAAATATTTTTGGATTCACATATTGAGTATGTATGCTCACTATTTAATATGAGTACGGAGAATGTGGTAAAGATATGTGGGTTGAGTAGTAATTTAATGATTGGAGGTTATTTACAATAATAAACATGTTTAATATCTCAAAGCATAACGAAGGTTTACAAGAATGGATAGATTTTGGTGGCAAATTAACTAACTACAGTCTGGTCCAGAATGTTTGTATACTGTTCTATATTGATGTTATTGTAGACATGAATGGAGTAGTTATTGAGTGTATGCCCGAGTAGTAACAGAGAAGGTGGCGTATGATCTGACAAACATGTACGAGTTGTTATTCTGGTTTGTAGAGATTGTTTTGAGCATTTGTTCGTCAAAACATATATACACCATTATTTTGTATAAAAAAGTATAATATTTTTCGAAACAGATCAACGCTTTGTTCAGACAGTTTCTCTGTACTTGGTGTAGAGTCATATTTCGTCAAGTACCAGAAGTTATAGGTGGTCAAATTGTTCGACTGTCCAGAAATGGTATGAAGCAAACGGACATTGTCAGAACAGTAGAGTGTCCCAGTGTACTGTATCCAGAACCCTGAAACGTCATCGGAATACAGGAAACGTTGTTCCAGGAAAATCTACTGGTAGACACCGAAAAACTACTACCCCAGATAACCATGTTTTGATCAAGTTAACACATCAAGGCCGAAAGAAGTCTTGCAACACCTTACGACAGGAATGGCATGAACACATACATTCCAGGGTATCCAAAAGAACAGTGAATACGAAACTGACCAAACAAGGTTATTTTGTAAGAAGGGATATCTGCCAACCAGAGTTCACCGCCGTCACCATGTTACTTGGGCAAGACAGCATGCCAACTTACAGTTATGATACTGGCAACGTATCTTTACAGATGAGTCCTGTTTTTGGCTTGTTAAAGCTGATTGTAAGATTCGTGTTCGTCTTTTGCCTAGAGAACAGATGAGGGAAGACTGTTTTTCCCTCAAGGAACACACAGGAGGTATTGCAGTACATATTTCGGCAGCTATTCATCATGTTGGAAAAACTGCTCTTCACATCCTCCAGGAAAATGTCAATTGCGCCTCCTACAGGTATCACATGGAAACAATATTTCTGTCATATGTTAGGATAATGTTTGGCAATAACTTTGTGTTCCAGAATGACAATGCCACTGCCCACAGTGCACTTATTGGGCAGAATTATTTCGAACTAGGAGAACGTTACAAAATTGCCATGACCAGCAAAGTCTCCAGTTTGTAATCCCACTGAGGACTGTTGTGCAGAACCGAGCAGGAAAAATGGCTAACCATGACCATAAACCATCTAGTGTAGCTGAATTTCACCACCTTCTGGTGACAAGTTGGAATGAAATCACGGTGGATTACATCAATAACCTCATCGACAGCATGCCACGTCACCTTGCGGCGGTTATTAGAGTACGAGAAGGACCAACCAATTACTGAATGTTTAATATGAACTAATATAAAGTTACAGAC